CCCACCATTTTTCTGTTCATCCCTCCACGTACTCTTTTCCTTCTGCCATCACAGTTTTACACACACCCTTGTGTTTTACACGCACCATTTTATACCCGTCACTGAATCACCATTTCACGCCGTCCTCACCAACAGTCACTATTTACATCACCCGCCAAGAATCACAATTTCACACAATCTCCCCCACCATCATTCACTATTTTACACCCCCCCCCCCCCCACCATTCATCTCTCATCCTCCCACCACAACTTAAAATTTTATACCCCTCACTTAATCATTTCACCCCCCCCCCCAACCACCAATCACCATGTCTACCCCTCACCATATCACACACAACCCCGACCAATCACCGCCCCACCCTCTTCCCCCCCCCCCCCCCCCACCGCCCCACCCTTAACCGCCATGTCCCATTGGTCTAGCCCTCCCCTAATCTAATCGCTCCCAGCCGATACATCATGCATCTCGGAATTTCCGCTTCACTGACTCGCTACACGCACAAACCCTGATGGGGGGAATAACTCGATCATGTCGTATTAGGGGCTGATCGTTCACTTTTATAGTGGTGGTCAGATGGTTCACTTTTATAGGGGTGGTCAAGATGGTTTAGTTTTATAGGGGTGGTCAAGATGGTTCACTTTTATAGGGGTGGTCAGATGGTTTTATATGGGTGGTCAAGACGGTTCAGTTTTATAGTGGTGGTCAAGATGGTTCAGTTTTATAGGGGTGGTCAGATGGTTCACTGTTATAGGGGTTGTCAAGATGGTTTAGTTTTATAGGGGTGGTCAAGATAGTTTAGTGTCATAGGGGTGGTTAAGATAGTTTAGTTTCATAGGGGTGGTCAAGATAGTTTAGTTTCATAGGGGTGGTCAAGATAGTTTAGTTTCATAGTGGTGGTCACATGGTTTACTTTTATAGGGATGGTCAAGATGGCTTAGTTTTATATGGGTGGTAAAGATGGTATAGTTTTATAGACGTGGTCAGGTAGTTTATTTTGAAAAGGATGGTCAAGATTTATCTTTTATAAGGATGGTTCTCTTTTCTCGAGTGGTCAGATGACTCATTTTATAGTACCTGTCCGATGGTATGCCTTTTAAATGGACGGTCAAGATGCTCCACTGCTATTAGGGTGATCAAGATGGTTGACTTTTATAGTAGTGGTCAAGATGATCCACTTTAATAAATTGGTCAGTTTATTAGTGTTCAGATTTAGCTGACGTTCAGATATGGTTTACTTCTACCCAGAAGCGTCATTGAAAAACAAACACCTGCCAACCGAGGACGCTAACAGTCAATTATGTCTGTATAACTTTACAATCTGTGTAATTGACCCAAGTGATCATCCGTACATTCCTTCACTTTTACTATACGGGCCTGTAAAAATGTTTTCCACATTCATTAAAAACATCTAATGCGTCGCCAAATAGCTATATTTTTTTTTCGTTCAAGGGACGTAATTATTCCTCCATAACTCCTTATGATGGTAGAGATTATCTCCCTTTTAAAAAGTCCCCCTAGTGTTTTATTATTACGCCCCCAGCGACAAGTACATTGATCGAACTGTCTCGCTACCAATCTTAGTGTTTCGTTTATTAGATACTGTTCTCTATGTGTTTGATGTATAGTGTATAGTAACCTTCACCCAATTTCGTTTAATGGGTTTCGAAATTTTATCAAGGTTCTTAAAAATCAATAATGAACTAAGATTTATGATAACCATCAATAAATGTTTAACTTCAGGACATCTGAAGATATTTTCGACGAATTAGTTGTACTCTAGCATTCGGTTGCCATAGCAATTTGTGTTTTTGTATATAATTAGATTATGAAACGCGAGTAAATACAATTAAAAGTCGAGTTTACAACGTTACAAGGTTCATATAACTAGCATTAAATATCCGTTCATGGTCGTTCATTGGGTTGTGTTTATTTACGTCAAGGTCAGTCACATATAACAATCACAGGTACTTGAACTATACTTTGGGGAAGGCGTGGTCGGATGGTAGAGCTTTCGACTGCTAACCCGAAAGTAACAAGTTCGGACTTCGGGATTGAGTCCCTGAGTCCACTCAACTCTTATGGGTACTCGGCTCACATTAGAGAAAACGAAGGCCAATTGTATAGTGCTGACCACACCATCCCTTCATATGTCAAGGCCAAGAAACTTTAGCACTACTTATATGCCCGATGGATCATTTGAAAGGGGAGCTTTACTTACTGATACACATTATCCCAACCTTTGCTTATTACGGCTACATGACATGCATTTTATTATGCTGTGAAATGGTATAAAAATAACTTAATATTTATTAAATTCTGAAAAAATTTCTCTATTGGGCCGCTGTCGAAAAACGTTTTAAAATCACATACTTTAGACGGTGTTGATGTCACAGTGTAAAAGCTTGCAACTCCGAAAGTGTTGAATACAACATGAGGATGGAGTGAGAGAGGAATAGATCCTCTCACGTTGGGGGAGGGGTGGGGGTAGAATGGAAGATTTCAGTCCTCCTCCGGCCGCTCTCAAATAATCATTCATTTCCCCACTCGTTCTCCTGCTCCGTCTAGGGGAAGATAATCCGTTTAGCCACCTGCGCTGGAACAAAGGGGACACAACCCAACTAATCGTTACTAGAGTTGTCTCGCCTATCAATGCCAGCTTGCAAGTCTTGCATTGTCTGGTTCCCAAACTAACCCCCACATCCCCACTTCCGTGTAGTTTTAAAGAATAGTGTGATGTAGTATGTTTCGCTATCAAGTTAGAAAGGATCGGCGAGACGTACATTGTCCACTATCGCGGTCCAGCTAGTCATAAAAACAAGACAGGTACTAATTAAGTTGGGCCACTTAACGAACCGGACCATGGTCTTATCTGGATATTCATGGCTTTTTTCGGTATTTACCCTTGACCAGGGATTCTAAAACTGGAGGGAGTTGCCTCCCTTAGCTGATCGGGGATGTAGTTGAGGGGAAACAATAATTAAGCTGTAGCATGCTGTTAATTAGAATCTTAATTCTCGAGCTTTTCTATTGTGTCTGCAAGTGTTATTACCTCCAACCGGGGATTCTAAAACTGGGAACAAATGTCCATCGCTGAGCTTTTCGGTGGAACATTAAGAGTAATGCTTAAGTGAAATTATTTATGCATGCGCATGGAGTCAATTAGGTCTTGATTATTTTTCTATTTTATTGTTCGGTATTAATCTCCAATCAGGAATACTAAAACTAAGGGAACACCCCTTCCCCCTTTTCTTTAAGCTGACTTGCAATACTTTTGAGTAATGGAAACATAGTTTATGCAGTAGCATGTAGTTAATTAGATTCTAGTTGTGATTATTTTTCTGATATCTATTACTATTTATTTATAATCAGGGATTCTAAAACTAGAGAAAATATTTCCCCCCTTAAGCTGAGTGTCTATACATCTTGATGAAGGGAAGCATTGTTTATGCAGTAGCATGTAGTCAATTAGATTCTAGCAGTTTCGGTTATCTATTAGTATTTATTTATAATCAGGGATTCTAAAACTGGAGGAAATGTTTTCCCCCTTAAGCTGATGGGCCATACATTTTGATCAAGGAAAGCATTGTTTATGCAGTAGCATGTAGTCAATTAGATTCTAGCAGTTTCGGTTATCTATTAGTATTTATTTATAATCAGGGATTCTAAAACTGGAGGAAATATCCCCCCCCCCCACCCTTTAAGCTGATTGGCCATACATTTTGATCAAGGGAAGCGTTGTTTTTGCAGTAGCATGTAGTCAATTAGGTCTTGATTACCCAGTATTTCTATTTTATCTTCCGCCGACCTGACGAAAGCCGGAAACTATTTGCATCTTTTATTTGATATGCATATGTATGAGCAGGTTTTTATCTGCATTTCAGAATCATGGTTTCCTTTATTATCAACTCTCTTTACCCACCCACCCACATAAGCTTATATCTGTTCCCCCCCCCCCCCCCCCATCAGCTTTCTGGTTTGTGAGTTCTACGGCTAATGTCTTAAGCACGGTGGAGACTAGAATTGATTGTTTGAGGGGGTGGGGGGTGGCATTGGTCCAGTCAACTGGTCTTAAGGTTGAGGGTAGAGCCCATGAGCTGAACTCACACGGTCAGTTAAGTAGCCAAGCGAGTGGGTTGAGTGTTGTATGCTAACTATTCTGTAGGATTTCACTATTGGAGTTTTATTTTATTTTTTATTTCGTGCCTTTTTTAAAATTTTAAATCGTTTTTATGTCACGTCAAGCCATTCGATTGTCTGACGTTTTTTTTTTTTATGGAACGTGAAATAAAAGCACGTGGTCATAAAACATGGTTGTTTTTTTTTTTCCAGTTCGGGCATAGTGAGTTCGTTCTTGATCAGAAATACTATTTCTACTAGTTAATATATTGATTTTTTTCTTCACGTTTCATCAACGAATCCGCGTCGAGGCACTTCGTGGTATGGCTGTCTGCCCACCAACCAGTATTTCCTCTATCTGTTCAATAAGTTTTCTTTTGGTAGCTTTATGGTCTCATTGTCTAGTATCTGTATAACAACGATTCTGTGTATCGATGTCTGAATGGAGCCTTGTAATAATACGTGATGTGTAATTACTGTCATTAAATTAAGGTCCCATTTCTAAACTAACGTAATATATATGTCCAGGTATTCTATTAAGGTGTTGAAGTTACACCTAAAGGTTTTTGTGAAGTAGACGCGTTTAAAACAAAAATACTTACCTTTTCATTGCAGAAATATTTTTGTGTGTTAATAAAAGCATTGAAATGTGTTTTTTGAGTACTCCCATCTGCTCTCCGCAGAAGTATTTTCGTGTGGTAATAAAAGCGTTGAGTTGTGTATTTTGAGTACTCCCATCTGCTCTCCACAGAAGTATTTTCGTGTCTTAATAAAAGCTTTGCTCTGTGTTTACTCTCATCTAACTGCAGAAGTATTTTCGTGTGTTATTAAAAACGTTGAACAGTGTTGAACTGTGTTTATGAGTACTCTCATCTTCTTATTGCAGAAGTAGCCTGTGATGACAATCCCCCGACCCAGGCGCTCCAACTAGGGTTCGAACTGGCCCTCAAAGAGAGGGATGCTGTGCTCCGAGAGAAGGCCAAAGCACAAGAGGAGCGTGACACGGCGCTGAGACAGCTGGAATCAATACGTGGTGAGAGGGATCAGGCTCTGGCTTCCTTAGAGAACCTCACCACTAAACATGGAAAGTTAAAAGAGTAAGTGCGACTCTGGTTTTTTTTACTATACTTTTGTTTTTGGAATATATTACAGAAGAATCAACATGAGAAAATAAGAGCAAATATGATGTAGTGGTTTTTATTATGCATTCGGAAAATATTACAGAAGAATCAATATAGGAAAGTAAGAGTATGACTCTAGGTTCTATTTTTATTTTTAATTATTTGTTTGGAAAATATCACAGAAGAATCAATATTTGGAATTAAGAGTTAGTTTGTGTAGTTTATACTTTTAAACTGAATGTACATGTTTTATCTAGCAAACTTGGGTTACTAAAGTAGTATGTGGAAAATGAATAGAGTGAGTATGACACTGTTTACTCGAGAAACTGCTAGAATAATAAATGGCCTCTTCCCAGTTAAAACTGCAATAACATAAGTAACGTTTTATTAGGCCAGAGGCTTAAAAAAACTTGGACAATCCAGCTTTATATAGAATCAAAATAACTGTGTCATATTTACTCATTGTAAAGATCATATTACAAAACCAGTTTATAAAAAGATTCTGTATAAAGTTATAGGTTAAATTCTAAACTTCACTGAAAACTAACTGTTGCTCATATACCATTAAGCAATGTTCACTTTTGATTACTTTTATGTCTAAGCTAGTAAATGATCAACACATTCATAATTAGATTGTGTCTTAATATCAATTAAAAAATTAATTATTTAAGAAAAATAAACAAGAACTCTGACATTTTTACGTTAGAGAAATACTGTAAATAAATTAATCATTGCAAAAAAAAGATGTATAAAAAAATCGTGTAGCCCTAATAAAATAAAAAGTTGAACTCTGTAAATAAATGTAATCATTGCAAAAAAAAGATGTATAAAAAAATCGTGTAGCCCTAATAAAATAAAAAGTTGAACTCTGTAAATAAATGTAATCATTGCAGTAAAAAGATGTATAAAAAAAAATCGTGTAGCCCTAATAAAATAAAAAGTTGAACTCTGTAAATAAATGTAATCATTGCAGTAAAAAGATGTATAAAAAAAAATCGTGTAGCCCTAATAAAATAAAAAGTTGAACTCTGTAAATAAATGTAATCATTGCAGTAAAAAGATGTATAAAAAAAATCGTGTAGCCCTAATAAAATAAAAAGTTGAACTCTGTAAATAAATGTAATCATTGCAATAAAAAGATGTATTTAAAAAATCTTGTAGCCTTAATAAAATAAAAAGTTGAACTCTTTGTAAATACATGTAATATTGCAATAAACAAATGTGCAAAAAAAAATCTTGTAGCCCTAATAAAATAAAAAGTTGAACTCTGTGTAAAAACAGAGGCGAGACAATAAAAACTGATTGAAGGCTAATTCTGGGAGTCTGGGGCTCCAGTGTAGGGATAGCTTTATGATGATTGACCCCAGTCTAGAAGTATTGATTCTTCTCTCACAGTGGGATGTCAAGCTTAGACAGGATCTCAAGAACAGACAGCAGAAAAATGAAAGATAAACCCTTGGTGGTGGAGACGGAGCAGGCTTATGAGGAGGTGAGTTGGCGGCTGTGTGTGTGGGGGGCTTTTTGTGTGGGCTGTGTGTGTGTGGCTTTTGTGTGCGGCTTTGTGTGTAGGTTTTGTGTGTGTTCTCTATTACTCTATGGTTCTTTGCCAAAGTGTGATTCTCACTCGATGATATAGGGGTTGGCAGTCGTTTTGCTCTGGTGTAAGAATTTATTTGTTATTAAGTGAAAAAAAAAGTTGGTAACATCCTTTAGGTTTAAAAACGTAATGGTAATAAGAAATGGCTCAGTGTAAAGTAAAAAAAAAAACATATAAATAAAATAATTAGTTTTACTAAGATTAAAATTTAAAAAACTATATGTTGTAATCAAGGTAGGCCATGAAATGAGTAAAAATATACTTACTAGCTTGTTTTAACGTAGTCAGTACTATTTGTAGTATTTGAATTAAAGTAAAACTAGCAACCTCATGAATATTTATAAACTTTTTTTCTTAGTCAATTTTTTTTATAAAGATTGCCAACCCTAGTCACGTACATCATTTCCTTCTTTCAATGAGCCTTGTTGATTGAATGAAATTTGATTTTTTACAAGTCACCAAAATCTTTTTTATTTATCTGATTGGAATCTCATCGCACATTGTTCCTTCTTTACCTGTTTGATGTTTTGTCAAGCATTGTTATTGTTGAGGTGTTGCAACAGAGGTGATGTTGTAAATGCTCTTTCATGTTCTGTGAAGAGGGGTTTGGAAGCAGGCACTGTTAATAAAATAACAAATGTAAACACATCAACTTTTATGCTCCATATATGCTGTTGACTCCGATTTTCAGCCTGCTTTTGTTTTTGCATTTGCTTCCATCTCCTTTATAGAACAAACTAAAAAGCAATATTTGTTTGATTTTGGAGTTGTCTCTCCTAGAAGAGTTGCTGCCCTCATCTGTTGAGCCTCATCTGCCCAGGGGGTTTGAACTTGAGACTTCTATGTTTAGCAATTTTGAGCTTTACTGAATCGAGCACTCTGACCCCTGACATAGAGAATGATTACAATGCCCTTGCTGGGATGTTATTATTTACCTATGTCTACCTTTAACATTGTAATAATACTGTATGTTTACATTTGTTATTTCATGTTTTGTGAGCATTTTGTAGGTGTTTACACTATTGTTGTATGTCTGGTGTTCCATATTTCCTGCAGCATATAGGGGATGTTTTCAGTGTCTTAATGTGTAATATGTTGTGTATATGACCTCTATGTTGTAGCACTTTAGAGCTAGATTTGAGAGTACAGCTAACAATAGATATTCTAAATCTTACTGCTGAGCTAAAGGCTTACTTATGTTAAAAGCTATACTACTGTCTGGATATTTATTGAAACAGTATTGTAATGTTTAGTGTCACCCACTGTTTATATCAATTCTATGGTGTTCTGGAAAGTTATTTAGACTTAGTATGGCTAACAGAACATGCATTCATACCTTATTAGCAAACAAATTCTGCTAGCTTACATCATGCATTTTCAGCACATTATTTCTTTCATTATTAAAAGAAAACATATACCAATTTAAAAAAAAATTAAGGCAACAATCAATTTTATCTACTATAATTGGCTTCTTGTAATTTTACCTTCTTTTTCAAGTCACCAAGTATGTGTACGAAAATTTAAAAAAAAAAGGTTTTAAAGCTATTGCAGTTTGTTTAAACTTCTGTTTGTTTAAAAAAAATCATAAAATGTTATATTTTTAAGAATCAAAAAATTAATTTAAGCTGTGCTTCTGTTTTATATTTCTAATTAATGACACGAATGCTAGTCCAGGCTTGACTATATTTTTTTTAAATCTGTTCCATGACCAACAAGTCTAGTTCTATACACCTCCCCATGACAGTGGTGGTGTTGATCTTGAGCTCAAATCTAGCATAGCTCTCGCTATTTCAACCTTTTTTCCCACCTCCCCATGACAGTGGTGGTGTAGATCTTGAGCTCAAATCTAGCAAAGCTCTCTCTATTTGAACCTTTTTCCCACCTCCATTTTCAGCTGCGCTTCCTGTCCTCCCCACTCAATAATCAGGTAAGATCTATTGTCTCCCCTTCATACACTGCCTGGGTTTTTTATCTCCCTTACCCTTCATCCCATTCTTCTCTCCCCTTTTTTTCGCATTGCGCTCATTAACACAAATGCATCTTGGCTATTTTTACCCACTAACATTTTATATATATATATATATATATATATATATATATATATATATATATATATATATATATATATATATATAAACAAAATATTCTAATAATTGTTTTGTTTCATAAATTTAAATATAATTTGGCATGTTGAATGGGAAATGGAACTGACTTAACCACTATATACTACATGTAACACTGGGTTGTTCATTGTGTAATTCCCAAACTTTAATCTAACTTTTATTTTAGGTTCAACCTTAAAAGGGTTGTTTTAAACATCCATAAATACTTAAACCAATATTTAAATACGCATTTAATTTACAATTTTTATACTCTAGAAGGCAAAAAAAAAGTTTGTACAATTCTGTACTTTCAAAAACCACACACACATACAACACATTTTATTTCTTAATATTAAAAAAAAACAAGATTAAATTAATAACAAACAAAAAATATTCTAAAAGTTTTATTTGTCCAAATCAAATTCCAAGCTGTAACATCCATCATCATCAAAATCAACAACAAAACGTATTTTCTACTCTAGTCCTAATGAATCAGTTATTAAAAAAATCAATCTTCCCCATCAGTTTGTTATTACCGAGCTTCGCACAAAATACTTCTCTATTGATATCTTTTAGTAGCGCCCAAAGCTACGGCATCTGTTTATTATTTAATATTAATTTCCGTTGAAGGTGGCGGCTGTATTGGTGCATGGGAAACAACTCGTTTAATTTTCTACGTGGAGTTACCTCCGTTTGTTATAACGAGTGTTTTAGAAAGATTTTTTTTTAAAACATAATTTTTTAGTTGTAAACAGCAATAATTGCTTGTAATTTAAAATTAGTGTGGTGTAATTGTGCGTGGAAAGTCCCGTGCACATGTATTATTGAGTAATACTGGAAAATAGATAACAGCATTATGAACGAAATAACCAAATAACATAGTATTGTGTTATAGACATATTTTACAGCTTTTCAGGGGGAAAAAATGTAAATTTACCTGTAGAATATAGAGATGTGAAGCAAAAATTAAATATATAATATAAGCTTATAATTGAAAGAATATTTGAAGCAGTGTGTTTTTCATCATAATAATCAACTAAGACTATATTTTAGTCGTGTTACACCCTATACTTTTGGAAATCGTGAAACTTGCGGACTATGTATGAACGAAGCTTTTAATCAGTGAACTTGATTCATAGTATGCTGGCTGTGTTTTGTATAAGTGAAACAAATTTAGTATATGGGCTATGTATGAGTGAAAAAAGCTTAGTATATGGGGTATGTATGATTGAAACAAGTTTAGTATATGGGGTATGTATGAGTGCAAAAAAGCTTAGTATATGGGGTATGTATGCTTGAAACAAGTTTAGTATATGGGGTATGTATGAGTGCAAAAAAGCTTCGTATGTCGGCTATGTATGTATGAGTGAAGCCTATGTGGACTATACATCTATGTAACCCCCTTGGTATAAGTGGAACCTGGTAAGTGAGGTATACATATATGTAACACCATTACACCAACCTCCTTGTTATACGTGTAACCTAGTATGTGGACTACACATGTATATAACACCATTATCGAACCGTGGCTACATCCACCCCAGTACCCAACTATTTCTTATTCCCTTCTCCCAGACTAGAGCCGGTCCCCCCCCTCCCCAGAACGTCTTAAACCCTTCTCTCCCTCTCCAGCACTATTGAGTTGTCTTTTATTTGATCCAATCAATCGTAACGGCGCCCTAAGGGCTTTTGGCCGACACCGCCGTCCTTCTTCAATCGACGTGAAATTAGCACCGGCAAATTGAAACTTTAAAAACGATTGATTTACTCGCTCGGAATCTCGTTTGTATGATTTAAATGTTGTGGGGGGGGGGGGGGGGGGGGGGGATCTCATCGTTTTTTTTTTGTGAAAATATTGTTTAAGATTGTTTCTAATAGGGTACAGGCTGAATATCAAACTATTTTATAGCTCGAAAATTCTGCCGTTTAACTTATTCATAACCTCCTGCGCACACACCGTAAAACACGTGCATGCACGCTACTCGCACATCATACTTAATAGATTTGTGTTTAGTTAATCGGTTACTACCTAATTTTACACCGTTCATTTTCCTTCCCATCACACCGCCTAGACAGAGAGAGAGAGAGAAGGGGGGGGGGGTGTCGGTCTTAAGTCCAAGCGTGTGCTGGTCAACCAATTTGAAACAGTCAATACGTTAGCCCCTGTCTTAGCCGCTGACCTAGCGTGTCCGGCCTGACCTAATTTAACCCCTGACCGCCCGGCAGGTACGTGCGGGTCATGAAAAGAATGGCCGGACATATGTGAACGGCCACTCGGTCATTGACGGACTTGTCGGTAAACGACACTGGCCTATGGTCAACTGAGGGTAAACACACAGTCGCTCACGGCCAATGTGTATGATGATCAGAAACAAATATCAGAAGCTTAGAAGTATTTCAACGTGAGCGTATTGCTCCTTTGTCTAATAGACCATTGGAGATAATTTCGCATTGGAATTCGTGTAGAGGGGATTGGAATTCTAAGCACAAAGCCTGGGCCCTAAGTTGAGAAGAGGCGGATGTTGCCCATGTATTAGACCCCCTCTCCCCACTCATCTGATAGACCGAAGGGAGCTTATAATACTCCTTATAATACTCCTTTATTTAAGTTACTGGTTAAACCATCATCAGGCGTGTCCGTTCTTTTTGCTGATAGTAATTAAAACGCTTGGAACATACTAATTACCCATAATCAAACCTTTAAATAAATAGACACTTCAGCACCATACGTTTTAGCATGTTTTTTTTTAAAATATTTATTGAAGAAGACATTTGGGGGTTTAGCCATTGTGGGAAAAGGACGTATTTGATATTGTGTAATATAAGTTTGTGATAATAAAGTTAATTCTGGTTCATGAATTAAGTTGTTGACATCGTTAATTAGTGTCTGCGGAAAATTTAAAGCAAATTTTGAGCCCATAATGAACATGTATAAATGATATATTAAATTAAAATAGCCGTGCCAGTGTTGTGTCCATGTTGTCCTACATTAAATCGAAGTACACACAAACAAGTATTGTGTTACGTTCACCATCTTAAGCAACCTGACCCCGTGACTCGTCAGTGTGGACATACCAAGGGCCTGAATCAATAACCAAGGTAATAGGCTGGGACGACCAGGGGAGATAAGCGAGCAAGGGGGCGTGAGTCAGTGTCTCCAGTTACCGATGCTACATTGTGTTTGTCCCGAATCTTCTCTTAAGGTTCTGTATGCAAGTGTTGGAACATAGCTTTGTTAACCTGCATTAATGGGTAGTGCATACGGTAATACTTGGGAGCATTAGAACAGCATATTTTAACTTAACTGAAAAACAGTTCGTGTCATTGTATTTAGAAGCATTAGAACATAGCGTTCTTAAACTAAATTAATGGACGTGCAGTCGTTATTATTTTGGAGCATTTGAACACATTATTCTTAAACCAAATTATCTGTAATTTTATTTCAAGCGATTATGTCTTACAAAATGTGGCTGCTGTTTAACTAAACGGCGCGTAGGTTGTATTTCGAAGCATTGAAACATTGTGTTTTTAAACTGCATTAATGGGTGGTGTTTGCGATAGTACTCGGGAGCATTGAAACATTGCGCTTTTAACCTACACTAATGGATGGTGTTTGCGATAGTACTCGGGAGCATTGAAACTTAGCGTTTTTAACCACCACTAAAGGATGGTGTTTACGATAGTACTCGGGAGCATTGGAACACAACATTCCTACACTGCACTAATGGATCGTGCGTGCGGTTGTATTTGAAAGCATTGAAACTTTTGCTTTCTTAAACTGCACTAATGGACAGGTTCGGTGTCCGTCTCCTCCCGTCCCCCCTCCCCCATTGGTCTTCAGCTTTTCTAAGCAACACTAAATGGATGTCTCGTGCAGTGAATCGAGACTGCATACACGGTTACATCCGGGGGGAGGGGGTGGGACGGACGGACCATTAGTGTTTGCGTGACATGCTATGCTGATGCATTAAGACTGGAATATGACGGTTAAAGTGCACACGATGAAAGCTGGTTGAAACACACGAGTAGAGATGGTCACTGGTTGTATAACATGGATGCTGGTGTTAATAGAAGATGAGTTATTGAAATATCATTGCCGTTTTTGTTAAACAGGGAAAAAAATGAGCGCTATTTCATTTTCCGTATGTAATGCCAAGCGCCCATTGAACGGGTACGGACAAACGGCCGACACTGACAAAAGGCCGACAGTCAAAAGGCCGACATCCGAATGGTCTACACTCGGTGTGCTTGATATCGGCCTTATTATCTGTCGGCATTATGTCCAGTCGGCTTTTCAAAATTCGGCTTTTTTCTGTATCGGCCTTTTTTCTGTATCGGCTTTTTTGCTGTATCGGCCTTTTTGTTCACTTAACGTTACGATGTAAAACAAAAATGTTTTAAGTGATTGTCCTACACAATATGACTTCCAGTGCTACGGTGTAAAACAAAAATGTTTGCCGTTAAATTTTTTTAAAGCTATTATCCTACACAATCTGACTTCCAGTGCTACGGTGTAAAACAAAAATGTTTGCAGTTAAATTTTACAATCTGACTTCCAGTGCTACGGTGTAAAACAAAATTGTTTGCAGTTAAATTTTTTTAAAGCTATTATCCTACACAATCTGACTTCCAGTGCTACGGTGTAAAACATAAATGTTTGCCGTTAAATTTTTTTAAAGCTATTATCCTACACAATCTGACTTCCAGTGCTACGGTGTAAAACAAAAATGTTTGCCGTTAAATTTTTTTAAAGCTATTATCCTACACAGTCTGACTTCCAGTGCTACGGTGTAAAACAAAATTGTTTGCAGTTAAAAATTTTTAA